AAAAAAAAACCAACAAACGATTATAATTTACTTTATCAGGGAAAATTAGGGTTTTTTTTTTTTATCAAAACAACAACAATTGTTTATTGCTATCGGTTAACAACAAAAAAAAAAACCTGTTTGAATACAACAAACAACAAACTATTATTATTATTATTATTTATTTATTTAACCTTTGGAATTCCGCTGCACATTATCCCCTAGCATATATTAAAAAAATATCAAATAAATAAATAGAATAAAACAATTTTTTTAAATAAAATAAAAAATTAATAAGGAAATTATTTATGTATTCGTCAAACGATTAATGTCGCACTAAAATAAAAAATAAAAAATAAAAACTTTAACGTAAAAGAATAAAACGTCAACTGAATAATTTTTTTTTTTTTTTTCGTTATCGACGTGGAAGTTGAAATTTTGTGTGATTTTTTGCGGTTGGCAACATTGAATTTATTTTAAGGTTTTGTTCACGTTATCAGTATATACCTACGATTAATTAATGACTCGGTGCTGTCGTTGTTGTTGTTAATAAATGCACTTTTGACCTAGTTTTTCTTTTCGTTTTACAATAACACAACTGATTATAATAATAAAAACTTGATGTTATTTATTTTATTCGTTAATAATTATTTATTTAATTAATATTATTGATGAAAATTAAAACTAAAAAAAAAAAAAAATACACAAAAATCGATGAACGTTAAAATTATTTAAAAATGGCGAGATTTCTTTTTTTTTCTTTTTTTTTTTATCCAAAGTTTTTTTTTTTTTTTTTTAAATTAAAATTTAACAAAAATATTTTTTTTTTTTTTGGTTCCTTTTTTCTACTACTTGAATAACTAAAAGGGAAAAAAAATGAAATATAAAACTTCTTCAATATTTTAGCGCATGTAATTTTGAAATCCGCGGGGGCGGAAAATTCTAGACGTATGTTAAAAAATATATCGTTTTAATTTTCTTTTTTTTTTTTAAAAATTTTATTACGAATTTAAACGGTAAAGTTAATAAATTTTCCTCGAGTTTATTAAAGTTTAATTTAAAAAGTCATTTTTTTTTTTTTTTTATTCCTCGCGAGAGTATATATAATAATAATAATTGAAAAACTTTAAATTTAAAAAAAAAGAAAAAAAATTTTTTCATTAACGATAAAAACTGTTGAAAGATACATATATATATAAAATTATAAAGTTCTTTTATTATTTAAAAGGCGGTGACTTTTTACTTATATTCACAACAAACTAACTTTTTTTTCTTTTTTTACAATTTGAATTTTTTTTAAAATGAAATTTAGTTTTTTTTTTTTATACGACAATGAAAAATAAAATTTATGAAAAAAAAAACAATAATATTTTAATTATAATCATAAATATTTAAATAACGATAATAATAATAATAAATTGGAAAAAAAACGGAGAGGTCGAAAATCTTAAATTTTTCAATACCAATACATATTGATTCAAAAAAAAAAAAAAAAATGTCAAAACGTTTGGATTAGAAATGAAACAAAAAAAATTTAACCGTTGAAAAATTAAATTATCGATTAAATATTTAATTATAGATGAAAAATCATTAATGTAAAAATTTTCAAATAAAAAAAAAAAAACATTAGATTTCATAAAACGATTTCAAAAGACAGAAGACAGAA